AGTCTCCTCTTTTCTGCCGGTGTGGACGGAATGGTCCTCGCCTGGGATGCCCGGGCTCGCACTCAGTACCCCATTCAGGTATGTACCTATCCTTCCAGCTTCGCAGTGCAATGTCACTACAGTCTTTTTGACCCGTGTCTTTTAGCTATGCTATGTCTTCTCTAGTGTTGAAAACGAGAAAGCCGATAAAGTGTTTGTGGAACTGATAATCCGTAACCAAAAATGGCAAATGTTGTGGAGACGCAGTATTGTTATCTCCCTTGGTAATGAAACTTTTCGTGCTTCCTGAATGTACACCCCCTACTGATTACTCATTCGATAAAAGCGGTCGGCTCCATTCTTGTGCAGTGCAAGGTTGTTGAAAACGTTCCGCTCTGGTAACTTTCGTATGAATACCGGCAAAACACGTGTTTGGACTGTTACCTGGTAACTCTGCTGTCAGAATGGTGTGTGTAAACTGCTTGCTACGTGCTGATAGTTTAGGAATATTACGCGGTTATCTTTCTATGGCTGATGGAATTCGCCTCAAATACACATATGCACTTTTGAACTGAGCTTCTAAGGCTTGATTCTGGATAAATTTGTGTGAAAATTCACAATTAGTAATTTCTAAACCGGGTTGTCTATCGGAAAGTATACAGGGAACACTGGGGCGGGGGGGGAGGGGCTGATGAACTGAGCGCGTCGCACTTGTATTATGCGGCGGCGGGATGTAGGCGGAGCACGGGCGAGGGCTTTTGGCTAGTACCTGCGGTGCCAGTATGGTGTAAGCTCTGCATATACATTTTCAGGTTGCATCTCAGCTGTTTAGAGGAAGGGGGAGCGAATTGAACTTGATAAGTCCTAAAGCCGCTTATCAGTTTTGTCGTCTGTCGCTGTATCTGCTCGATTGGATCACTGTCTTTCTTCATCCAGGGCATCCGCATGGGCATTCCTTATTCCAAATACGGTTTAACGAATGGACCAAAGATCCCAGCGAGAAGTTCAGGTGGAAATAGAATGAAGGAAGGCCTTACCCATTTCAGGATGCTCATTGCCTTATGGAAGACTCTTTTCCCATTTTCGGATGACATTTAGTTTACAGTTGTCCAGGTACTCCTCGGACTGATTCATAGTCCCATCCATACAAATTTAGCCTAGCTCTTCAAACTGGTGACACGTATTAGGAGAGTTGCTTCTTAATAGCATTTCAAACGGTCTAGGAACTCAAAGTTCTCGCTAACCTTCACAAGGTTCTACCGTTTCCGTTTCAGATAACTAAGTTTTGACCTTCCCTAAACTAAAACTCGTTCGTTCAAACTTATCGAACTTTCCTACTTTGAAAACATCGTGTCTAATCTTCTGATTGTTGAAAGGACAGCTTCTAAGGCACATTCAACCGATCGGCTTTTTCGCATCTATATCGAAGTGCACCAAAGACAGCCAGTTTCCTCACGGCGCTTTCTTGCTCCGTCTGTCCCATTTAGCGTACTTAAACTCCTTGCATGTGTTTGCATAGTGATAAACACTCATATTTTGCGACTTAGAGAGAGAGTGTGTGTACTTGCACGTGAAGTTCCTCAAATTAGAGACAAATATACGGAAGATGCTACGACTGGTCCGACTTAAAATCAAATTAAAAGTTCCTATTTTCCAGCTGGCATTCATTTCAGTCGTCCGAGTTTTTAAAAAATCACACTAGCTTCTTTTTCAGTAAACTAAAGAAAAAGCAGATTTCCTGCATATATGCGAAGAAGCTGACGACAATTGGCGTAAAAAATAGACTCAGTTTAAGTTGTTCTACAATGTACCTTTGATTCACCCTCCGACAACCTCAGTTTTCGTGTGCCAAAATGATAACTCTCCCGACCTCTGACCTCACTGATGCTCTCGCTAACATTTACACGGGATCAATGACCCTCGAACCAATTTTTGCCTCTGTTGAAGTTCAAGTTCACAAAAACAAGTGACCGTCGGGTACTTGTAGCGTCATTTTGGTCATGCACAGGCGGCCAAATGGCTTAGCCTACAATTTCTCACTCCATACCCTGCCCGCGAAAGTGGCCTCTGAGGGTCGATCCGGGTTCCGTAGCCCGAAGATCGCATTTAGATCAATTTTGGCCCAGCAACCATTACCCATTCTTACCCATTACGTTGAGTGATCCAATTGATCGGGGCGCCTTATTTGCTGGTATTTGACTTTAGGTTTAATTTCCACAGTATAGAAAGCATAGAATAATTGCATAAATGAAGGACTATATAGGCCGCTGGCCGGAAATTGCCACGAGAAAGCTCTTCGTGTCTTTCTTTTCTAAAGGACAGTCGCATTTCCGGAGTTAACTCCATCAGTCCGACGCGGATTATGACTGTCATTGTTAAAATTAAACGTCTCCACGCTTGTCGCAGTTAGGTAACTGGCGCTACGTAACTGCCATGATAAGTGACCAGTCAAGCGGATAAGGGCACACCACGTTTCCACTAATTTGAGGGAAAAATATGTTCCAGGAAATTCTCTTGTTGACTGGATGGGAGTCGGACTTGCCGTTAGATTGCCTAGATATAGACTGTTTAGTTGATAGACTGTTTCAAAATGAAATCTAGCTGGTAGTATCTGTCTCGTGTTCCACCGCATGCTGACATAGGCCTTAGTAGATAGTGTAATCCGTGAGGGCTTGTCTGAGACTTTCAGTCCGACTGTGCTGGACTCATTGATTAATGTTCACCTGACCACTAACGGAACTCATCTGTCCCGCTCTGTCTGAGACCTCGACAGGGGCTGTAACAGCTAGAAGTAGGCAGATAGTATTGCCGGTGACTTTCATTGATGGTGTGTTCTAGACTTTGTGTGTAATGAACCCCCCCCCCACTTAAACGACCACCTTAGCTTCCCGTCTTGTTTCCTCTTCATCCAGACTATGCATGAGGCGAAGGATAGTGTCAGTTGCATCGCCGTTCGCCGCTGGCAGATTCTCACGGGCTCTATCGACCGATGTGTCCGTATCTACGATATTCGCAAAGGTGAGCCGAAGACGTATACCGCGCCTATGAAACACGATTTTGCTTAAAACCTGTAATCCCAATACGCACCAGAAGTGTTAGACTATGTTAGAGTCCAGCAAGAAGGCCCTTTCTGGAATGCGTGTCATCTCATTACTTCGTGAGGATAGTTATTTTTATCGTTGGCAATCGATTAACGCCTTTGCTATTGATCCTGATACAGTTGAAAATAGGATCGCTGTACAGCATAATCGAGTAGAAGACAAAGACTGCCGTCAGCCTA